GTTGCCCCACACGCCGGGCCTGCAAGAAGTGTATGCAACGGAGATGAGACAGGGATGAGAGATACAGGTGAGCTAGTGAGAGAGGGCTGGAGCGCGCATGGTAAGGTGTCAGCCCTTTCTCTGCTCCACACAGTCTGCCAAACCATCAATGTACCCCTCCTTGCCCCACACGCCGGGCCTGCAAGAAGGGTACACGCAAAAGAGGTGTGAGGAAGAAGATACAGGGGGCTGGAAAGGTAGTGATAGATAAGGATACTTCTTGGGATGGGCTGATCACGCTGTGAAGTCGAGAATGCAAGGCAAACATAGAGTTTGCTCACCAGTGCAGCCCGTACAGGTCAACACAGTCAACTCACCAGTGCAGCTGGTACAGGTCAACGCAGTCAACTCACCAGTGCAGCTGGTACAGGTCAACGCAGTCAACTCACCAGTGCAGCTGGTACAGGTCAACGCAGTCAACTCACCAGTGCAGCTGGTACAGGTCAACGCAGTCAACTCACCAGTGCAGCTGGTACAGGTCAACGCAGTCAACTCACCAGTGCAGCTGGTACAGGTCAACGCAGTCAAGCTGCAGGCGTCTCAGAGACTCCTTCACGGCCCCCACCACAGACTCCCGCCCAAAGCGCCATGGAAGGGCGGCAAACTTTGTTGCCACTATGGGAGCCAGGTCCCCTGCCTGGCTCTTGCCGGCTCTTTCCTTGATGAACCTTTAAGTGTAGAAAGGGTGGGGGTGGGGGGGGAGGAGAGGGGAGGGGAATAGGAAATTGATGGTCACGGAGGGGCGAGTGTGGAAACTGGGGTGGGTTGCAGAGCAGGTGTGGTTCATAATGGATGCGAGGAGCAGAAGAGGGATCGGAAGAGGTGACTTTTGAGTCGACTCAAAAGTCACTGGGCTGGGTTACAGAGCAGGTGGGGTTCATAATGGATGCGAGGAGCAGAAGCGGGATCGGAAGAGGTGACTTTTGAGTCGACTCATAAGTCACTGGGCTGGGTTGCAGAGCAGGTGGGGTTCATAATGGATGCGAGGAGCAGAAGCGGGATCGGAAGAGGTGACTTTTGAGTCGACTCAAAAGTCACTGGGCTGGGTTGCAGAGCAGGTGGGGCCCATAATGGATGCGAGGAGCAGAAGCGGGATCGGAAGAGGTGACTTTTGAGTCGACTCAAAAGTCACTGGGCTGGGTTGCAGAGCAGGTGGGGCCCATAATGGATGCGAGGAGCAGAAGCGGGATCGGAAGAGGTGACTTTTGAGTCGACTCAAAAGTCACTGGGCTGGGTTGCAGAGCAGGTGGGGCCCATAATGGATGCGAGGAGCAGAAGCGGGATCGGAAGAGGTGACTTTTGAGTGAAGGGAAGGGAGTGGGTGCGAGGAGCAGTGGGAGTGGGAGGAGCAGTGGGAGTGGGAGGAGCAGTGGGAGTGGGAGGAGCAGTGGGAGTGGGAGGAGCAGTGGGAGTGGGAGGAGCAGTGGGAGTGGGAGGAGCAGTGAGAGTGGGAGGAGCAGTGGGAGTGGGAGGAGCAGTGGGAGTGGGAAGAGCAGTACCTGCCAAGCAGTGACTCTGAGTCGTCTGCTCCAAACTGCAGGGAAACGGGAAGAAACAGGCAGCAGCAGCACAAAGGGCACAAAGAGGTCAAAACGCGTTACCATCAAATGCGTTGTGCCCTACGTGAGCAGCAGCATCCCATTGCACCACGTAAGTGCGTATGCCACTGAATTGGGATTGAGATTCTCCAAGAGCTCACAAACAGGAACCACGTTTTTCTGAGGATTTTCCTGCACCTACTTAAATTCTGAGGAACCAGGAACCAGCAGGTCGAGCTGGGAATTACCAGGCTCAGTTGTTACTGAGAAGCGCAAACGCTTAGCTTAACCACTACTAAGAGCAGCACAGCAGTAAGAAAGCAGCAGCATCGCAGGTAGTGAACCATGCACCTGCTTAAATTCGTCTCGGGAAATGAAGGTTCTGAAAGGGGGTGCAGAGGAGGGCGTACCTGTTTGGTGCCGTAGACCTCAGCAGTGTCAATGAAGTTGAGCCCAGAGTCCATAGCCGCGTGCATGTCAGTTTGAAATAACCTCAAAAGACATCACATGCTTGGTCAAGAGGGTGGCACCTGATTGCAAGGGGGCCGCACCTGCTTGGTGCCGTAGACCTCCGCAGTATCAATGAAGTTGAGCCCAGAGTCCATAGCCGCGTCAAACGCCTGCTTCGCATCCCTGACATTGCGGTCTGACAGTGGAAAGGTGATTGGCGGGGGCGGGGGGGGGGGTTGGAAATATGGCAGCTTCTTCTGAAGTATCAATCACGCTCAGCAGTATCAATAAAGTTTAGACCAGAGTCCATGGCCGCGTCAAACGCCTGCTTTGCAACGCGCACATTGCGGTCTGACAGTGGGAAGTGGACTGGGGGGGGTAGAATCAAGAGAGCTATTCTTTAGGCGTTTACATGTCCGCAGGAGGGAATGCTGAGCAAGCAGAACCTGGTATGCAATCAAGAGAGCTGCAAATCCTCACCGTTCCAATCGAGGTGACTTTTGAGTCGACTCAAAAGTCAAGAGAGCTGCAAATCCTCACCGTTCCAATCGCCATCATTCATTGTCACTCCACGCCCACGCGCGCTCCCATCTCATGTCCGTCCTCTCCCGCAGATCTTATTAGTCACAGTGGCATGCTCGCGACCGTTGCACACTTACCGTTCCACTCGCCGTCGTTCCACGGCGGAACTTGTCTCCCCACACCCACGCTCCCACGCCGATGATCGAAACCATCACATCCGTCCTCCCCAACTTCACCCGCGGCACCTATGCTGCTGCTTTCGAGTCAACTTAAAAGGCACACTCACCGTTCCACTCGCCGTCGTTCCAGAAGAACTTGTCGCCCCACGCCCACGCTCCCTAGTCACAATGCCTTGGCTGCGAGAGCACCGCACTCACCGTTCCACTCGCCGTCGTTCCAGAAGAACTTGTCGCCCCACGCCCACGCGCCCACGCCGATGATCGGAACCTCCACGTCCGTCTTCCCCAGCTTCACCCGCGGCACCTCCGCCGCTGCTGCCACGGGAGCGCTGCTGTTTGGCGCAGCGGTTGCGCGAATTCGCAGTGGTTGCGGTGCGGAATGCGACTTGAGTGACGTGGCGGAAGGTAACGGGACACGCTGACCCTGGATGTGGAGGGAGAAGATGATTCAATGGGATGGGTGGAATACCAATTGACAAAGCTGCGGCATCCCACTGACTTTGCCTTGTTCCGACCATCAATGCGACAATCATGTGCTTAGCGACTGCTTTCAAGTTATTAATGAAGCACGCTTTAAGGAGTTCTTTCTCTACGGGCTTGTTCCTGACGGACGCGGAACTTACTGAAACGCTCTTAATGCCGACTGCTGCGGCTTGGCTCGGTTTCAGGGAGAAAGACAAAGACGCCGAGGCAGCGAGGGTTTCCATGGTCGGCAACGACGGAGTTCTTTCAGCCGCTATATCACGCACGCTACTCCGTTAGTGATCGCAAAAAATAGCAGTTGCCGCGACGTAGAAAGTGGAATCTGAAATCCAGGAATGGCTGGATGGCTGGTGAAGAGTGTTGCTTGAAATGGCTGGAATTTGGAAATTGGGGACCTTGAGAATGCCGAATTCGTCACTAGCACCAGTCCGTCGGACCTTGGGATTCACATCACATGCCTTTCAACGACATTGTGCCTGCAAAGAGGGGAAGTACTTCGTGTTCTTCAAACGAGTCTATTGACGTGGAGGATTTTGCACGCGTCCGCGTGTTTAGCATCCAGAAGAGACGGGCTGGCTGAGCTACCGCCACGTGCCAAGATACAAATACTCCAATTATGTGTAAGCATTATGTATTGTACACACTAAAATATATCTTGCATGATTCACAATAAGAGTGCGGCTTTAGCGAGGTCCGCGGTGTTCTGGAATCTTGGCCCCCGCTTCAAGCACTCGAAAAACGCTACAGCGTTTGAAATTCTGGTCACTGTTTCTGACACCCACCCTGAAAAATCCATGGCGGAGAAACAGACTCCTCCATCCTCCTCAGAAACGTGAACCGATGAAATCGTTGCATCACTGATTATGATGCAGAGAGGCCAGTTACCGGCTTTCAGTTAGTCCGATAGAACTTAGGAGCACAACCGGTTTAGTTTTGCGTAACGGCAGAACTAGTGAAGGCCACTCGCAGCGAAATTCGGGTTATTTTCTTCGCGATTCGGATCAGAATCGGCCACTTTGTCGAGGTTCGGTGCGTCTGGCGACACAAACAGATTCGCTCAGCGATAGGCGGGAAGAAGCTTTGAAGCTTGCAGGAGCAATATATGACCGTTTTTACCGCCGGTTAACCACGGATTCGGACTCGTCGCCAGGCTCGTCGTTACATTAATCGCCAGCGACGATGAAGGCGTCGCTGACGACATGTACGATAGCATGAATAACCTCCCTCGGTTGATCAATCATTGCTGAATGTTGGCTCCTGTGCTGGTCGTTCACGAGCCATAAGAGCCTTCACGTAGAACCTTATTCCCTGAGCAATTCGGTTCGTTAGCTTCCTGTTTCTCACCCGGTTTCCGGCGTTTCTTCTCACCTTGATAGCTTCCTCCATAGCCGTTACTTTCATGCGTTCGGTCCTTTCACCCTTCGGATTTCGTGCCATCTTTGACATGAGCTGACACGGAGAATGTCGGTCATTCACTTCAGCAATAGATCTGTACTGAATTTCCCGTTCCAGTGATCCAGCGGATCATTGTGATCTTGCAAACACGGATACGCAGTTCTTCACGTTCTGTTAGAATCTGCTCATGAGAATATTCTTCAGTGCTTCCCTTTCCATATGCTCTCCAAAACTACTTCCTGGATTCAACAGACATGGAGCTCTCGGATCTCCCGTCCTGTTGCACCCCCGGCATGACCCAGCGTTCCCCTCTCCCCGTTTCCATATAACTTTCAAAACAAAATTCGTGATTCAACAGACACGGAGCTCTCGGACCTCACATCCTCACTGGCGGATGGTTCACCGGAGGTTCAGCAGGCAGCCGTGGATGCACTCAAGTCCATCGCCGCTGTGTGAGTATGCGATGGGGTATTCCTCTCCCTGGCTGTTTCTGACGCAGCTTGAGTCGACTCAAAGTACACCGGATGGCCCACCAGAGGTTCAGCAGGCAGCCGTGGATGCACTCAAGTTCATCGCCGCTGTGTGAGTATGCGATGGGGTATTCCTCTCCCTGGCTGTTTCTGACGCAGCTTGAGTCGACTCAAAGTACACCGGATGGCCCACCAGAGGTTCAGCAGGCGGCCGTGGATGCACTCAAGTCCATCGCCGCTGTGTGAGTATGCGATGGGGTATTCCTCTCCCTGGCTGTTTCTGATGTGGTTAGTCACTCACAATACACCAGATGGCTCGCCGGGGTTGCAGACGCTGTAGATGCGCTCAAGTTTATCGCCGCAATGTGGGTTTGCGTTGGAGAGCCTTTCCTAAGTCATCCTGGATCGAAACACTCACACCTTCCTGGAATTTCCAGGATGTTCCCAGAAATGCATGTATGCTGTCTCCAGGATGCTTTTATGTGTTGTTACCAAATTGCATGTATGCACCATTCAGGATTGTATGCTTCAATCTGTGCCTGACATGTGTCCTATTTGCATGCAGTAACCCCAAGCTCGTTCTGCTCTTCTGTTCCGAGCTTCTCCAATCCGGTCAGGTGAACTGCCGAACCTGGGCCAGAGCACGCATATTAGACCCGGAGAAAGCATACCAACCACCACGACAATTGCCATGTTCTCATCTAATTTGCAATTCTGGCTACTATCTTATCCTTGTGAGCGCATCACATGCAGTGGTTTTTGAGGCGCCTCAAAAACCACCGCATACCAACCACCACGACAATCGCAATGTTCTTATCTGACTTCCAGTTCTGGCTACTGTCTTATCCTTGTGTGCGCATCACATGCGGTGGATCATTTCACAGTGCAGTGCACGTGTAGTAGGTTCCATGCTTCTGGCTGACTATCCTTAGACGCCTCCTTGCACCCGTTGTCTTTCCTTTGCCCACCCTTGTGACGCACATCCCCTTCCTTGGACCCATCGGGCCATCCCGTTTCTTGGCCCCAGCCCCTTCATCACTATAACCATCCTTCCGTCCCCCAAACATTCCCCACCCGCAGAGCACGAGACTGTGGTGGTCGGTGCCTCAGCTGCCGCAGCACCACAAGACCAACCTCTTCTCTGTCATCGCAGCCTCTATCAGCACACTTGAATCCGCCTCCTCTGTGCTTTCTGGCCGACTTCCAGTGTGCGTGCCTGCACACCCCCCCATTTCCCCCCGCAGAGCACGAGCCTGTGGTGGTCGGTGCCTCAGCTGCCGCAGCACCACAAGACCAACCTCTTCTCCGTCATCGCAGCCTCTATCACCTCCCTCACTCGCCAGCAACACTCCGCTGCTGTTGCTGCCGCTGCTGCAGCAGGGGGATACTCAGCAGCAGGAGCAGCAGGGGCAGGAGGAGCACCATGGGGGACGGTAGCAGCGGCGGGTGGGGTGTCAGCAGCGGAAGGTGCAGGAGTGGGGATGGGTTCAGATGGGGGGGGAGGGGTGTCGGATCACACGATGCTGGTGCAGAGCATCAAGTTGGCACTGGCAGAGATGCAGGTGGCAGGCCGATCAGGCACTGGCAGCGCCCAGGTGCGTTGAACCTGGACAGTCGTGAAATGATCTCACGTGCTGGTTCAAATCACAGCGTCAATCTGGAATGGCAGAGATTTAGGTGGCAGGCCGATCAGGCAGGTGCATTGAACCTGGACACATTGGGAGTTAGTTATACCTCGTGCTGGTGCAAATCAGAGCGTCAAGCTGGAAATGGCAGAGATGCAATTGGCAGGCCTATCAGGTACAGGTATCGCCGAGGTGCGTTGAACCTAGACAATGCCGGATCACACCATGCTGGTGCAGAGAATCAAACGCATGAAGCTACCCCTTCTCCAGTGTCTCCTTCAGTTCCCCTCGCTTCCATTTTCTCTCGCCATGTCTCTTTCTTCCTCTTGTCTCTCCTAACCTTCTCCCTCCTTTCTGCCCCACCCCCCGCCTTCCCCTTCACGCTTTTTCCCTCCTCATCGTGCAGGACATTGGTTCACCACTGAACGTGGCTGTCGCATCTGTCATTACGGCTGTAGCAGCTGCTTCAACTTCCCTGGTAATCCCGAACCCACATGCTGTAACAGAAGATCAGCTGCTGAGCAGCTTCTTTAGCATTCTCTCTCTCACCATTCACTACCTCTGTAGCAGCATGTGAGACAACTTAGGTAGCACTGGTATGGCGAGCATGGAGGTCGTTTTTGAGGCGCCTCAAAAACGATTTCAATGCACTCAGGTAGCACTGGTATGGCGAGCATGCAATCAGCGCTGTCAAAGTGGTCTCTGATTGCCATGTGTCTCCACCTCTGCCTGCCACGTGTATGCATCTAACCCTGCCACGTGTATCCATCTTTGCCTGCCACGTGTATCCATCTCTGCCTGCCACGTGTATCCATCACTGCCTGCCACGTGTGCAGGCTCTGGACGAGGTGTTCTGTGTGCCACAGCCACCACTGCATCTCATTGCCGATGCCTTCGGCCAGATGGCAAAGAATAGACGTGAGTGCACCATTATTACTATTTTAATTCCCTTTTTGTCGTGTGATTCGTCCTATTTGTCCACCTGCCACCCACCCTTTTAGGGGAACCGTGCCGATTCTATCGTCCCCTTTGTTCCTTCCGACACCATCCTGTCACACACTCGCATTCCCCTGCATTCGTTTCTCAACCCACCCAGCCCATATCCACCCCCACTCCTCATTTCCGCCCCTTAACTCACATCCAGCTGCTGTGTTCCGCCAGGATGAGTGGCCTTTTTTAGGCGCCTCAGAACTATGCTCTGAGGAATCGTCTCACAGCTGCTGACAAAACGAATCAAATTCTCTAGCTTCACCTCTCTCCTTAGAAGCTCCACTCCACCCCTCCATCCCATATCCATCCAGCTGCTGTGTTCCGAGCCATGTGGCCGAATGTGTTGAGGAAGATCGTCCCACAGCTGCTTGCAAAAGAAAACACGATGTTTTTCTTCTCCCCCCCCCCTGGAATCCCCTCCATCCCACATCACATCCAGCTGCTGTGTTCCGAGCCATGTGGCCGAATGTGTTGAGGAAGATCGTCCCACAGTTGCTGAGTGTCACTGAGACCACCAAGCACGTCTTTGCTGATGGTGAGAATAAGTTGGTGATGGTGGGATTGAAGTGATGATGGTGATAGGGAAGTGCTGATGGTGAGTGGGAAGTGCATCTGCTCCTCCTCAACCCCATGTCACCCAGCAATCGTCCACTGGTGCCGGGCATTCACCCACGGGCAAGGCATGGGATAGTTTGAATCATCTCCCTCCCTTTATTCCCCCTCCTCGCCCCCATGTCACCTACCTACCACCATCCAGCAATCGTCCACTGGTGCCGGGCATTCACCCACGGGCAAGGCATGGGATAGTTTGAATCATCTCCCTCCCTTTATTCCCCCTCCTCGCCCCCATGTCACCTACCTACCACCATCCAGCAATCGTCCACTGGTGCCGGGCATTCACCCACGGGCAAGGCATGGGATAGTTTGAATCATCTCCCTCCCTTTATTCCCCCTCCTCGCCCCCATGTCACCTACCTACCACCATCCAGCAATCGTCCACTGGTGCCGGGCATTCACCCACGGGCAAGGCATGGGATAGTTTGAATCATCTCCCTCCCTTCATTCCCCCTCCTCGCCCCCATGTCACCTACCTACCACCGTCCAGCAATCGCCCACTGGTGCCGGGCATTCACCCACGGGCAAGGCATGGCTGTGGTGCTGGCGCTGCAGGAGAGTCGAAGCAGGGAGGCGAGAGGGGATCAGGAGGGTGGAGCACCGTCAGATGAGCTAAGGAATATACCATGGACGGCTGAAGATTGGGAGGAGTCTGTGTGAGTCTTGAGATGCGCTGATACTCGCATTGGTGTGAGTGAGTGTGAGCAGCACAGCTGGTGTTTGAGTTCTCCTGTCTGAATGCATTTCCGTACTGCGATTTAGAGTGTGAAGTTGTGAAGTTGTGTGAAGTTGTGATCTCCATCAGCGTCCTTCCATTCCTCTGCATCGCCCTGTCTGTCCCTCCCCTCCCAGTGCTCTCCTCCAGTCCGCGTTCGACCTTTTCTTGCAGCGATGGCTCCTCTCTTCCTCCTCACCTGTAAGTCCCACACCCTGCAGCTTCCCATTATTACCCTGTTAACAGTCGTTTCTGCATGCCATCATGTCGCTCCCAGTGCCCTCCTGCAATCTCCCTTCAACCTTTCCACAGAGCTTTTTGCTCGAACAATCATCGATGCCATGTTCCTCTCCTCTGACACTTGTCCCCTCTCTACCCTCCAGAATCGGCTCGCCACAGCCAAGACTATGGCGGAGATGGCGTGTATGGTTCCGGAGGGCTACCTGTGTTGAGGCACTTGGCATTTGGCATTTGGCATTTGGCATTTGGCATTTGGCATTTGGCATAGAAGCCCTGTATGGTTTTGAGACGTCTTGAGTGCCAAAGACCTTGCTCTCATGTATTCCCTTAACACCCGCTCCTCCTGCATCCACTCTCCTCTCCGCCCCCCCACCAGACCCAGCTATCCACAGCCAAGGCCATGGCGGAGACGACGTTTCTGCTGCAGGAGAGCTACCCGTGTTGAGGCATCTTGAGTGCCAAATGCCTTGTTCTCCTGTATCCCCGTTTGTTTTTCCTGCAGGCCCGGCTGTCGACAGCCAAGGCCATGGCGGAGACGACGTTTCTGCTGCAGGAGAGCTACCCGCGTTGAGGCATCTTGAGTGCCAAATGCCTTGTTCTCCTGTATCCCCGTTTGTTTTTTCCTGCAGGCCCGGCTGTCGACAGCCAAGGCCATGGCGGAGATGGCGTTTCTGCTGCAGGAGAGCTATCTGCGCTCCACCGTCAGCGCTCTGCTGCCTGCCCTTCGCTCCCTGTGAGTGTGCATGGTGTAGGAAGAGTTATGCTAATAGTGCGCCAGAGAAGTATCAACTCACAGAGCGTGTTTTTTGAGAATTCTCAAAGAGAAGTATCAACTCACAGAGCGTGTTTTTTGAGAATTCTCAAAGAGAAGTATCAACTCACAGAGCGTGTTTTTTGAGAATTCTCAAAGAGAAGTATCAACTCACAGAGCGTGTTTTTTGAGAATTCTCAAAGAGAAGTATCAACTCACAGAGCGTGTTTTTTGAGAATTCTCAAAGAGAAGTATCAACTCACAGAGCGTGTTTTTTGAGAATTCTCAAAGAGAAGTATCAACTCACAGATACACATTACCGACAGTACCAACCAACTCCTAAAATTCGATGGATGCCACCTAGAATGTCCTTCAACTCAACCTGAGATTACCTCCTCTTTTCCAAGTGTTCTGCTCAGGTACGGCAAGGAGCCAGAGGAGTAGCACGTACACGTTACAGACGGCCTCGGTACCGTCTGGAGAGCTTTTCTGGGCGGCAGCCCAGATCCAGGCACAGACTCGTGACTTAACAAAAACAGCTCCTTCGTTCCCTGTTCTCAGGTATGGCAAGGAGCCAGAGGAGTATCAGCACGTACACGTTACAGACAGCCTTGCTACCCTCTTGAGAGCTCTCCTGGGCGGTAGCCCCGACCCAGACGGGCCTTCCGAGGCGCAAATCGCCAGCAGCAGCGGTGACAGCAGCAGCAAGACTGGCAGTGGCAGTCGGGGGCCTGAGCATGGGCTATCTGGGGAAGACCAGGCTTTATCTGGGGCAACAAGGGAAGCAGATGCTAGCGCGGCCGGTGCTGCTACTTCTGCTGTAGCTTCTGCTGCAGCTTCTGCTGCAGCTAGTGCAGCAGCTGCAATACTTGGGCGGCCCAAGCAAGGAATCAACCCAAAGGTGCGTATGCAGTGCTAGCAAGTTATGGTAAGGGATGTAAAGGATGGTACGTGACTTTTGAGACGTCTCAAAAGTTGCTAGCAAGGTATGGTAAGGGATGTAAAGGATGGTACACGTGATGAAGGAGGATGAGACTTGACTGCCCTTACTCACTTCCCCACCTGTCGCAGGTGCTGCTCCCTGATAGGCCACTACACCAGCCAGCTGTGTCTGAGCTGGGTCACTCTTAAGAAATCTCAATGATCCCCCCCGTCGTTAGTCCCTATCTCGTATGCTGCTCCCCACGCTGGAGTTCCTCCTCGCCTTGATAGGCCACTGCACCACACCAGCCGGAAGACTTTCACTTACGTCTGACAAATTTCAGAAGAATAAGTTGCTCCCACATCCCCATCCCACCCGAACCAGGTGCTGCTCCCCACGCTGGAGTTCCTCCTCGCCTTGATAGGCCACTACACCAGCCGGCTTAGCTCCAATGCAGCTGATATCCGCATTACCATCACTGTAAGTAAGAAGAACCGTCACAGTGAATCTAGCGTTGTGAGTCACAATCGTCACATTACCATTCAACCTTATAATTGCGAGTAAAGTCCATCACTTCAAGCTCACTACCATCAACATATGCATGGTTCAACATATGCATGGTTCACTGGTCAATCGATGCATCTCACGCATGCTTCCCTCTCATGCCTCTCACTCACAGGGCCTCAACACAGCCATGCGGTGTGCCATGACCATCACAGAGTCCTTCCCTCAACATGCAAGCATTCGCTCTGTAGACTTGACACGTCTAATGCCTTCCATACATTCTCCCACGTGTCTTTCTCTGATCTCATGCCTCTCACTCACAGGGACTCAACACAGCCATGCGGTGCGCAATGACCATCACAGAGGCCTTTCCCCAACATGCAAGTGCCTTTGCCATCCAGGTGAGTGACCACGGCAACTCAACCTCCCTCTTCTGTATTGACTGACAATATCTTAATGGCCAATATCTTGAGATCATTTTCGCCAAGATCAGAGTACGTTTTTGGCCACATTGAAAAGAACACTCACGGATATTAACCACTGGATTCCTTACCATCTACCTTTGCCCTCTCCTGTTGTCCGCTTCGTGGCCTCTCTCCTGCCCTACCACCACAGAGGGCGGCTCACAGAGGAGTAGATGTGCGGATCAGGCAGGGTGCGCTGGTTTTACTGCGCCGCATTGTGACCAGGTGTGTGTGTATCGGGTTGTCTCGTGTCGTGTCTCGTGTCGTGTCTCGTGTCGTGTCTCGTGTCGTGTCTCGTGTCGTGTCTCGTGTCACGTATCCAAAATGAAACATGCATGTGCGCATTTTGAATGCTACTGAACTAGTCTTAGAAAGACTTGTCCAGGTATTCAGTATCTTGAATGCTGCTTAACAAGTCTTAACAAGTGTACTGCACTATGACCTTGAATACTGTGCAGCATGTCTCAACAAGTCTTAACAAGTGTGGGCGGGCAGCGAGGAGCAGTTCTGCCAGGGCGCGAAGGCATGTGCGCAAATTTTAAGCTGCTTAACAAGTTTCTTTCTAACGAATCCTGCATTGCTTGCGTGCCATGCGCTACTCTACACTGTGCAGCATGCCACAAGTGTGGGCGGGCAATGAGGAGCAGTTCTGCCAGGGAGCAATCTACATCGTCCAATCAGAAGAGACAATGGAGAGCGCGCAGGACACGTCAGCACAGGATATTTTCGCTCTGGGGTGGGTTCAGGGACGTTCATCCCTGATCCACCCGTCCTTAGGCCTCCCCTCTAGCGATCCCTCCAGCCCTCCAGGGGTTTCTGCTAGCCCTAGAGGCGGAGAGTGGGGGGGATTGAGGGAAACAGGAGAAGGAGCAGGAGGAGCAGCCGTGGGGTCGAGCAGTGGTGGAGGAGGGATGGGCGGAGGGGCAGGGGGAGGAGAAGGAGGATCAACGGTGGGGGGAGGAGGGTCAGGAGCAGAAGCAGGAGGGGTGTCGCCGATAGAAGCGGTGCTGCTGCGGCCAGTGGGAGAGGTGGAGGTGGAGTGGAGCTCTGCGTGTGCTTCCCTGCTGGGCGCTGCCGTGCTTGTGCCCCGGAATACACCGTGTGACGAGACTCGCAAGGAAATCGTGCAGGTAACGTTTTGGGTGCCTCATTTGGAGCTCTTCGTGTGAATCCCTGCTGGGCGCGGCTGTGCTTGTGGCCCGGAATACACCATGTGACGAGACTCGCAAGGAGATTGTGCAGGTAATGTCTGAGGCGGCTCAGAAGGGAATCTGCCTGTGCATCCCTGCGGGCTGGGAGCAGGGGCGTTGCAGTTGCGTCTAACCTTCCTTTTGCTTCGTGCTCCTTGTTCCCCATTCCCCCCCAACTCCTGACCTTTCTTTTCCTTCCTGCCCCATGTTCTCCATTCCCTCCTCAGCTCATCCTGGCAATGGCAGCCACCAATCAGCTGCTGCCAGCTCACCCAGTCCCCGCCTACCACCTCCTCTTCTTCCTCATCTCCCAAGCCGGTCGCTCCTTCCGCCCCTCCCCCTCCTCCTCTCACCCCTCCTCCTCCACTCACTCCTCTCTCACTTCAGCCACTGACGCCACCAGCACTAGTGCCAGCAGCAGTGGTGGTAGCGGGGCGGCGAGGGAGGCAAGGAGGAGGGCGGCAGGAGGGGGAGGGGAGGAGGATCCGCTGTATCACGTGTGCAGCAAGGGACTGAGCATCCTTGCCAATACCGTGCATACCATGGATGTGAGTGACCCAGTGATAAACCCCCTTTCAAAGTGTAGCACCATGGCATTCGTTTGAAGATCCGCTGTATCACGTGTGCAGCAAGGGACTGAGCATCCTGGCTAATACCGTGCGCACCATGGATGTGAGTCACACCCCTCTTAAGGAGTGGTTTGGAGGCCCTTTGAAGATAGCTCCTGGGGTGTATCGCGTGTGCAGCAAGGGACTGCGTTTCCTTGCCAATACAGTGCATACCATGGATGTGAGTCACCCATGCATGCGAGTCAACCATGGATGTGAGTCACCCATGCATGTGAGTCACCCATGCATGTGAGTCACCCATGCATGTGAGTCACCCATGCATGTGAGTCACCCATGGATGTGAGTCATCCATGCATGTGAGTCACCCATGCATGTGAGTCACCCATGCATGTGAGTCATCCATGGATGTGAGTCACCGATTTATACACCCCTCTCAAGTATAATAGCTTTCGTTCAGAGAGCCTCTGTACTTTTTCAGATGTGCGATTCAATTCTGAGTAATCTCAAAAGTAGTGTTATGTGTGCCTGAATGAAGGGATTTATCGCCTGGGTATGTCTCTGCTCCTGATTCTGCAGGATGTGTTGCTTCTGGCTCTCCTGCGATCGCTGGTGAAGTCAAGTCTTGACTGCATTCTGCCATTGGTAACCGCACCCTGCCACTGGTAACCGCACCCTGCCACTGGTAACCGCACCCTGCCACTGGTAACCGCACCCTGCCACTGGTAACCGCACCCTGCCACTTATGGTATCATCACATCGCACTATCTTTGTCAGCACACAAATTCACTCGGTAGTACCCTTCTAAACGCTGGTCCTTCCATACTTATTGACTGGATATCATATTGCATCTGTAACAAGCACTATCAAAGTGTTCTTGACTGTCTCTCATCATTGCAAGTTGAATCGTATTCCGTCTCTTACCTTCTGTGTCCTGCTGTTTACTCACGTCCCTCCCGTCCCTCCCCACCCCCAATCGCAGGTCCTGCAATGCTTATCAACAATCATTTCTCGAAAGTCAGCCTCTGCTGCCCCTGAAGCGGGGGACGAACCTGGGACTGGAGTGTCAGCCAGTGGAACAGGCGGGGCCGAGGGGACGACCAGTGGCTATGGGAGGGAGGGAGGGAGTAATGGAGGGGATGCAGGTGGTGGTACAGTGGGTGCAGCCGAAAAGGTGGAGAGTGCAGAGAGGGAGATCCGAGGGCTCTCCCAGTTCAAGTTGCCGCCTCTGGAGGTACTAAGGGTGTGGATTTAGTTGACTTCTTAGTCAGCTCAGCAGTCACCTGGATGGAGGTAGTACTAAGGTTGTGGACCGTGTGGTGTGGTGCATGCATCCAGTGCATAATCCGAAAAAAATATCTGCTCAAAGTTGGGGTGGTTACCGTCGGCACCGTGGTGCCACGTTTTTTGAAGTATGGACTTGCTGTCCGTTGCTCTGTGTTTCTCTCCCTTCTTCCCAGGAGCTTCTACCGCGGTTGCTTGTTTTGCTTGGAAGTGACAAAACACTCACCGATTCACCGAGGAGGATGAGAATCTTGCAGGTGACTTCCTTACCTTGTATGGCCTCCTCGCATGAATAGTCTAAGCCTCCCATACCACTCGGCCGTCTTCTTAGTCTCGACTCTCCAGCCTTCCAGCACCATCTCTTCAGAACCTATCAAATGAGAAGTGGCTCAAAAGTGATGAGGATCAGTTTAGAAGAGCCCTTCTCGTGCTCCATCCTTTAAACACCTCATTATGTAGCCTCTTAGCCTTCATCCAGTATGACTTTGACTTGTAACCAATAAATCTTCTGCAAACCGGTCTCAACCCTCAGCGCCTTGTCCAATTGGCGAGAAATGCTGTTTGCCCAAACATAGCACACAACCAGCAACTTTCCTTGATCCTTCCGACTCGATTCCACTTTCCTTGGTTCTGCTTTGATACTTTCGCAGGTCCTTGAGTTTGTTCGCCAGAGCACTCTGCCTTCTGCCTTTGAGTCGCTCGCTCTCGACGTAAGCCCACTTGGTCTTGCCTGGTCTGCTCGTTATGTTCTATCCGTGTCTTTTCCCTTGCTCGATGTGTGCGGAAAAAAAGAGCTATGCACCCCTGCTCGTTGCTCCTCTGGGGGTGCGTGGCTTTTATTTGGCAAACTACCATATTAGTACTCGGTTTTTTTCTTTGAGGATGAAACCGAAGAATAACAAACGTATGAAATAGTTCTTGTGTTTCTTGTCACTCTCTTCCCACCCACCCTTTTTTTTTTCCCCCCAGAGACGTCTAAAAAACTTACTTATATCACACGACTTCCCACCCACCCCTTTTTCATGAGATTGAGCATGTGAAGCACATCGCAGAGCCCTTGAAGCACAATACATTGAACCACTTCCCCTCCTTTCCTCCTTTCTACCCCCTCTTCCCCCCTTCCCTCCTTCTCACTTTCCCTCCTTTCCTCCATCCCACCTTCCCATCAGATCGAGCACATGACGCACTTAGCAGAGCGCCTTGGGAGAAAACAGTCTCTGGAGCGCAGAAGAGCTGTTTGGCAGGACGCCACCATGAAGGTATTTAACCCTTTCCAGAGCACAAGGAAAACAGTTTGGCAGGGTTCCAAGGTGAAGGCAATGAGGAAGCTTGTAATGAGATTTTTTAGGCGCCTCAAAATGTGGCAGGGTTCCAAAACATTGCTGGATGAAGGTAATGAGGAAGCTGGTTATAAGGTTATGAGCACCATTTGTTCATGGAGGTTCGGTTCGGATTGTCTCGAGTTGTTTTGAATGTGACGTGTTTATTTGAGCACCATTCGGATTGCATCTTGTGTTTATTTAAAGGTCGAGCAGGGCCAGATGTCGTTCTCCTTGTGTGGAGTGGAGTGTTCACTCTTTGTGACGCTTCTCCCGCAACCAATCTCCCGGTTTCTTGCTGTGACTCTCTGTGGTCCTTCGAGTGAGAGTGCAAATGGACACGGCAGACAATCAGATGTGCAGCTGTGCTGAAGCTGTTTCAATCTCTATCTCGCTCATTCTGCTTCTGCCCTTAACCCTGTGTTCCCTCGTTTCTGGGTGATTCGTGGGGTATGGCATGGCATGAGCCAGCGTTTTTTTAACTCTCATTTGCGTGATTTTTTTGTGCTCTTGTCTCTTTGGATACTCTCCTTGAACACGTGTGGGCATCATATCATATTACTCTTGTCCTCAGATGCCCAAGAGAGCAGTGGTGTTTAAGACTCTCCTAGAACTCCTGTGGGCATCATGTCATGTTATTCTTCTCCTCAGATGCTCAAGTTTTGAGGCGCCTCGAAAGTTGTCTTCCTGAAAACTCTCCTAGAACACCTGTGTGCATCAATTATCATTCTTGTCCCCAGATGCTGAAGAGAGCAATCGACGCGGTGAACCATGCCGACTGGACTGCGCGGGTGTGTGACAGCTTTGCTGCCTTCTACTTGTGGCCGTGCACGGATGCAAGTCAACACATCCTGCTGCACCGGTGGGTGGGTTACTGCTTTCTGTAGCGAACATCCATGGATGCATGTATGTGTGCGTGGCACATTGTATTGGGTTGGGTTGCTGTTTGCCGGCTTCGCCGCCTTCTACCTGTGGCCGTGCATGGACGCAAGCTAACACATCCTGCTGCACAGGTGTGTTACTGCTTTCCCAATTGATTACTCGTGCATGCGTTTGTGTGGTGCATTGCATTGTATCGGACTGGACGGGTGTTTGGCGGCTTTGCTGCCTTTTACTTGTGGCCGTGCATGGACGCAAGCCAACACATCCTGCTGTACAGGTGGGTGGGTTACGTCTCTCCGTAGTTATTGTTTGTGTATGTGTGCGTAGCACGCTGTATGGAAATGGGTTTGGTGGGTGTGTGATGGCTTTGCTGCCTTTTACCTGTGGCCGTGCATGGACGCAATCTAACACATCCTGCTTAATCATATGCACGCATATGAGCATATGTTCACTATTCTCTTAGTGATAAACTCAACCAAAGTTCACAAATTTTCTCTCTCGTTCCTTTCCCCCTCCTGCCTCCCTCACACCAGGTGCATGGGGGCGCTTGTCCAGCGGGCGGCAGACTCCGTCTTCATTCAGCGCCGGGTGGCGCTCATGTTTGACTCTGCCGCCCTCTCTGACCCCCTCGACCGGCACGCCCTTGCCATGGGGCTTGGCACAGTGAGTCTCTCCTTTCCTCTTCTCAGGGGGCTCGGCTCGGCACTGTGAGCTTCTCCTTTCTTCTTCTCAGTCTGCTGTTAGTGGGGCTTGGCTTGGCACGTTGAATCTGTTGTTGTTGTTGTTGTTTTTTTTTTTCTCTGTTTCTCTTTTATAATTTTCAAAAAACAGACTCTGCTGTGAGTGGGGCTTGGCTTGGCACGTTGGCTCTCTTTGCAGCAAGTCCGGAACCTTCTCTCTGTCTCCAACCTGCAGCCTGCAGCAGTGTGTTGCCTTCTCTCTGCTCACTCAACTCCCACTATGTCCTGTCCCATGTTTCCTCTCTCTCTGCAGGTGGCGGCAGTGCATCTCGATGTGGTGTTGGCCACCTTGGAACAAGTCCTTGACTCCTACTCTGTCTCCAATCTGCAACGGTATGTTTCCTCCCCCCCTTTTTTTTTTACTTCTTTGTGTAATAAATCATATCAGAATGTTATCTCTTTTCATAAGAATGAGACATGAGGTATACTAAGCTACTTGGCCATTGGCCTGTCCCAAATCCCCCTCCCTTTCCTGTTACTTTCTCATCGCTTTCATCCCCTGCCTGGAATTCCATTGCTCACAGCACATATATACCTGTTTCTGTTAGGATCCTTGGCTCCCATTCAGTCGTCTTCTGTGAGAAGACAACTTTTTGGACATCACAAAACCTTCTCCTATCATTCTCCATGCGCTTTTTTCCCTTCCTCACAGCATATACCAGTTTGTCAAAACCCTCGGTAATCAATCGGCCATCTTCATCCCCAAAACCTCCTCCTCTTCCTCTTCCGCCTCCTCCTCCGCTTCCTCGGCCTCGAAGCTCGCTCTCCCGCCTCTCGAGCGCCTATTCAAGAAGGAGACTGCCACGTCAGCAGCTGCTGACTTCCTCCGGGACCCGCTGATGCATGATGACGTGTGCGCTGCGCTGGCGCTGACGTATCGGTACACGGTGGCCTTCTCGGAAGCTTCCGTGGTGGATTCGCGAATCAGGACACTGTTGGTCAGTTGGCTTTGCATAGGCGATGAGATGGCATTGCTGTAGCAGTTGATGTCACATGGCGTGTACCACAATGCCAATACCAGCAGAGGCGATTGTGAGGAGTAGGAACAACAAAGCCATTGATTTAGGTGATTCTGAAACATTGGTCCAATCCATCTTCGTGTTAGCCTTCGCTACTCCGCTATCGAACGCTCTTCTCCCCTTCCCTTTATGAACGTGTTTGCCCAGTTGGCTGCAGTAACATCCATCCCAGCCAAGACAGCTGTAGTGCAATCAACCCTCACATTTGCCTCTGCTGCTCTCTTCCCTCTTACGCCCTGTTTGTTCCCACTTGCTCTTCTTCCCCCCTCCATTCCCTGATTCCCACAGGATGCAAACGTGCTTGCCCAATTGGCTGCAATGACGTCCTTCCCTGCCAAGCTGGCCGTGGTGCAATCAAATCATCCTCACGCTCGCATCTGCTGCACTTTTCCCTCTTGTGCCCTCTTTCTGCCCACTTGCTCTTCTTCTCCTCTTTCCCCGATCCATGCAGGATGCGAACGTGTTTGCTCCCTTAGCTGCAGTGGCGGCCCTCCCAGCCAAGGCAGCTGTGGTTCAATCCATCCTCACACTCGCCTCTGCTGCTCTCACTGCTCCTCCATCTGCTCTCACCACCCCTCCACCGCCCCATTCAAGTGCTTACCCAGCTGCCCATTTAGCCCCAGTCCTTTCGACTTCAACAAGTCATGTAACGGCCTCCTCCCTACCACAAACCACCGCCATCAATCTCAAGAGCCGCGACGATCTTATCAGCTGCTGCCTCCATTTTCTCCCGCCGATTCCTTCTCCAACCCCTCTCGCACCACCCTCCGTATCCTCTTCCTCCTCCTCGTCCTCTTCCACCTCCTCCCCTCTACCCACCTCCTCCTCTTTGGCTTCATACGCTTCTTCCACCTCATTCTTCCAGTCGCCTCTCGCCGCGCCTACTCCCGGACCAACGAACACCTCTGTACCAGCCGCAGCCCCAGGCTCGGGTGTAGGCTCGGGCTCGGGTTCGGCAGCAGGTGGTGTTGCTGCGCCGAGGTTTATAGTAAGGATAAGGGGAGCTGGTGGCGCGGATGGGGGCGCAGGGGGAGCGGGAGGGGGAGGGGGAGTGGGTGGAGGAGGGGGAGGGGGAGGGGCATACGTGTTAGGGGAGGAGGAGGTGCGGCTTCAGATGGCGTGTGTGCGGGCGTGCACAGCCCTGATTCAGTCTCACCCACAGCTCACTTCAGCTGTTCGCAAGAGCGTGCAGGTGAGCAAGCATAGTGTGGTGCAGGTGAGAAGTAGGCACTTGGCAGTAAGAGGGGGAGGGGCATACGTGTTAGGGGAAGAGGAGGTGCGGCTTCAGATGGCGTGTGTGCAGGCGTGCACGGCTTTGATTCGCTCTCATCCACAGCTCACTTCCGCTGTTCGCAAGAGTGTGCAGGTGAGGTTAAGTTTGGGTGATTGTCACTGTTTCATCTCAATGGCTCTCAACCCCTCTTGATCTCTCTCACTCCCATCTCAATAACTCTCAACCTCTTTCCACCTCTTCCAGGCGGTCACTCCACTGCTGTGCATTGACGACTCACCATTGGCTGGTCGTGTGAAAGGAGAGAGGGGACTGGGGAGAGGAAGAGGAGAAGGGGGGATTGGTACAGTGGATGTGGAGGGAGGGGGCGGAGGAGAGGGTAGGGAGGAGCGAGAGGGGTCGAGCACAAGTAGTTCGGACAGTGAGAGTGGCTCTGACGAGGATGAAGAGAAAGTGAGGAGGAATGAAAAGGAGGAGAAGAGGAGGGTGAGGAGGACTGGTGGGAGAGAGAGGAGGGGCCAGCGGAAGCAGCTTGGCCCATTGGCAGTTAGTGTCATCTCTCTACTGTGTAGCGTGCTACAGATGAGGTGAGCTGCTACAGATGAGGTGAGCTACATACAGTTTTGGTGGCAGGGGCGAGGATGGCAAGGAGGGCGAGGAAGAGCTACAGCACAAGCCCTGCATGCGCTTATGTAGACACGCACCACATGCCACCGCATGCCACCGCATGCCACCACATGCCACCACATGACACCACATGCCACCACATGCCACCACATGCCACCACATGCCACCACATGCCACCACATGCCACCACATGTCACCACATGCCACCTCATGCCACCACATGCCACCACATGCCACCACATGTCACCACATGCCACCTCATGCCTAACCCCAACTCCCTCACCATCCCCCTCAACCTCTACCTCTCCCTCTCCTTCTACCTCTCCCTCTCCCTCTTCCTCTGCCTCTCCTCTCCCTCTGTTACTCTCTCTCTCCCTCTGTTACTCTCTCTCTCCCTCTGTTACTCTCTCTCTTCTTGCAGCAACGTGGATAGCAAGGAGGAGGAGGAGCAGTTACAAATCATGCTCTCCCTCCTCCGCCCCCTCCTCTCCCTCCTCCTCCCACCCTCTCCTCCTCCCCAACCCTCCTCCCACCTACCCGCTGCCCTCAACCCCACCACTCTCCTATCATCCGCCTTCCCTTCCAACACCACTCCACCCAGTAGCACCCATCCCAACCCAGCAGCACCACTTCAAACCCAAGCAGGTAGCAAGCCTGGGAGTAAGCCCAGCAGCAAACCTACCAGCAAGCCTAGCAGCCAGCCAGGGAGCCCTGGCCCTCGGGCAAGAGGGAAATCAAACCTGGGGGATGCAGCAGGAGGAGGGGAGAGAGGAGGGGGAGAGGAGGGAGAAGGGGGAGCAGGGGAACGGGAGAGAGAAACTGGAGAGGCGGAAGCAGCATCAGCAGTGGAGGTAGTTGCATCGGCGCAGCAGCGGGTGCTGACAGCGTACCTGGCAGTGTGTGCCCAGTTCCATTCTCTGGCACTAGGAGATGAGGGGCTGCTGGGTTGTTGTAAGGAACAAGTTTGCGGCTTTCTTGAAGCTAGCAGTGGTGGAGTGCGGTACACGGAAATGCAGCAAGGTACGCATGACACATAACAAGATTGGTCAAGGGGTGTGCTCTAGTGACAGCGTACCTTGCAGTGTGTGCCCAGTTCCATGCGCTGGCACTTGGGGAGCAGAGGCTGCCTGGTTGGTCTGAAGAAGGCATTGTAAGCCAAAACCAGTTACCACCGAAGTTTTACACAAGAATTTTTCTACAATGTACTACCAATGTACTACGGTGGTACAATGTACTACTGATGTTGAATCCTAAGTTGCTGCCACGTATGAGCCCAATGGCACCTAACTGGTGTCCTCTTCCATTGCGCCCCTCGCTCAATCTCGGGCATCACGTTGCCGTCGTTCTGCCGTTCTGCGCCATCGTGTTTCGAGGCACCTCAGAGCACTCTCTCTGAACCCTCTCCTCCTTCCCAACACCCCCTCCCCTTTTTTCCCAGCTCACACCCCCCCATCACGCCCCTCGCTCAATCTCGGGCATCACGTGGCCGTCGTTCTGCCCTTCTGTGCCAATGGTGACCCCACACTCCAACTGCTCGGCTGCAAGGTAGCTTTTTATATTATTATTATTATTCTCAGAACATGCCTGCAACAGCAAATCCCTTGCGCCAATGTGGACCCCACGCTCCAACTGTTTGTTGCAAGGTCACCCTTTCCTCCTTCGTAAGCCGCTGTTTTCCCCCTGGATTTTTGCTTCCATCCACCTCCACTACTCCACCTCTTTCCTTCCTCTTTCTCTCCCCTCTCTTGCGCCTCGCCTTGAGTTCCAATCAGTGCCATAGTAACGAGGTGACTTTTGAGTCGACTCAAAAGTCTACTCTTTCTCTCCCCTCTCTTGCGCCTCGCCTTGAGTTCCAATCATCCTGCTCCCTGCCATTCCAGTTTTCTGCACATCTGTCAATCTGTCATTCTGCCAATCTGTCATTCTGCCATTGCACCAGTCTGCCAACTTTGCCATCCTGCCACCCCCCATCCCCTCATCCCACCAGGTGGTTCTGCTGCTGCTGACCACAGCTGTCGCCCTCTCCTCTCCACCTGAGGCCTCCTGCGTTTCTCCTGACAACCCACCTGAGGTTTCATCACAATCAGCCCATTCCCCCCCAGCCTCTCCCTCCTCCTCTCTGCCTGTCTCCACTCACCCGGCCACCCACCAATTAGACGAAACCACCGAAACCAGCAGTCAGCAGGAAGCGCAACCAGCAGCAGCAGCTGCTGGCCCCAGAGCTTCTTCTGAGTCTCCTTCCTCCCATCCCTCCTCTCAACCGACTCACTCCTCCCTCCTTGCTGCTCTGGAAGCGAAGGTCTCTGCAGTGTCGCATCAGGTGGGGAAGCTTATAGTGGGGATGGGTTGGGCGGTACTACGTGTATGCAACACCTGCAACGTTGCATGAGGCGTGTGTGCAACACCTGCAACGTTGCATGAGGCGTGTATGCAACACCTGCAACGTTGCATGAGGCGTGTATGCAACACCTGCAACGTTGCATGAGGCGTGTATGCAACACCTGCAACGTTGCATGAGGCGTGTATGCAACACCTGCAACGTTGCATGAGGCGTGTATGCAAAACCCTGAATGCTGGGGGGGCTGTGAGGCGTTACTTCCTGCTCCTCCATGCTGCGGGTTCTCCTCCCTTCACCCTGAAAGGCTCGTCCGGAGATTCTCTAAGCTGCCTCAAAGGCTGTGCTGCTGGTTCCACCTCTCCCTACTGTGTTTTGAGTCGACTCAAAACACACCTCGCCCTACTTCACCCTTTGGCTTGCAGGGCTCGTCACAGGGGGAGATGGTGGAGGGGTCGTCGGAGGAACAACGGGCGGTGCTTTTCGCCGCTGCTGTGGAGTGCGTTGCACATGTGCTGACAGCTGATGAGGTGAGGGGGAGGGGCACGACGTTAATGGAAAGATGCTTGTGTACTAGGGAAGAGGTAGATGGGAGACCTCGGACATAATTCCAGTGAGCAGCAGTGCCTAGGTTTAGGCTTAAGCAAGTAGCCTAAACCTAGGCACTGCTGCTCACTGGAATTATGTCAGAGGATCTGCTTGTGTACTAGGGAAGAGGTAGATGGGAGACGGTCACTTCAGTTTGACGCTGCTGTGGAGTGCGTTGCGTTGCATCACCGCTCCTCCTCACCTCATCAGCCATCAGCTCATGCGCAGCGCACTCCACAGCAGCGTCGAAAATCACTCCCCCACACTGAAGTGCCACTCCTGGCAGCAGACGCCATTTTTCATGTTACCTGGTAGCCGCTCCACAAGCAACCCATTCCTTTGCATCACTTCCCTTCATACTCCCTTTTCCTTGTCACCAGGTGGCAGGCAGTGCTCCTCCTAGCAGCAGACGCGTTCCTTCACATCTCCTGCGCCAGCCACTGCCACTAGCTACCCATCAATTTACATCACTTCCCTTCATAATCCCTTCTCCTTGTCACCAGGTGGCAGTCCTACTCCTAGCAGCAGACGCGTTTCTCCACATTACTTGTGCCGGCCACTCCCCCTCCACCACCACAAGCACAAACCAGGGCAGCCAAGCACATGAGGACAGGGACAGAGGGTCTGTGCACTTGCAGGGCGCAGCAGCAGCGGAGTGTGAGTACGTGGGGAGTGTGGTGAGCCGGTGCATGGAAGCCGTGCTTCGAATCATCTCCCTCAGAGGCCACCAGGTGCAGCAGCAGGGGGAATCCGAGGCTGAGGAGGGTTCAGTGCAACCTGCACATGGGTCGAAGCAGCCGCTGCAGCAGGAGCGGGAGGATTTGGAGCAGCAGGGCAGGGCAGGGAGGATCATTGAGCGAGTTGTTGCAGCGTCGCTTGGTTGTCACTACAACTCTGCCCGGCTGCCTGCCTTTGCTGCGGTACGTGCTTTCATTCCAGGTCCTCCTGCTTCAGGCTCGCACAAACGTTCCACTTTGTTTTTAGACTCTCTAAAACCCGTCCTTGAAATACGTGTGACTCATCGGCCTTCATTGGCCTTCATTGGCCTTCATTGGCCTTCATCGGCCTTCATTGGCCTTCATTAGACTCAGAATTGAACAAACCCTAACCTCATGGGCAAGCGTGCGCTCTATGGCTTCCTGCAATCCCTCTTCCTTGTTCCTCTGTGTGTTGTTCCTCTGTGTGTTGTTCCTCTGTGTGTTGTTCCTCTGTGTGTTGTTCCTCTGTGTGTTGTTCCTCTGTGTGTTGTTCCTCTGTGTGTTGTTCCTCTGTGTGTTGTTCCTCTGTGTGTTGTTTCAACGAAGACTCATAATCTCCCAGTTTCTCTTCCTCGAACAAACCCTACCCTCTGCCAGGTCTGCTCTCTGGCTGCTGCCTGCGACCCCGCTGCCCTTTTCCGCTGTGTGCTGCAGCACGTGGAAGAAACTTCTGGGAAGCTGCCAGCCCTTGAAGAGCTTGTCGAGGTGCGGTGGGTGCGGTTGTGGGTTGTTGCAGGTTGGGGAGGCATTGCAAATATGGTGTGAAGTGGTTTTTGAGAATTCTCAAAAACCAGGTTGGGGAGGCATTGCAAATATGGTGTGGAGTGGTCTGAAATGGTTCCAAATGTAAGTCTTCAGCAGTGCAACCATTGCTGCGAGTGCTCGACCATTTCTTCCCTTGTCGTCCCTCCCTCTCTCTGCTGGAGATTACTCAGCATCCCTCGCTGAGTCCCCAGCTTTTCCACCAGCTTGTACCGAAGCTCACCCCAGGCTTCGACCCTGTTGGTGCAAGTTCCTACTCTCCAACAATTTGTTCTCCTTCCTTCGCTGTGCCTCCCTATCGCCCTCGCTTTCTGCAGGAAATTGCTCGGCACCCGTCTCTCGGCCCCCAGCTCTTCCACCTGCTTCTGCCGAAGCTCATCCCTGGCTTCGATCCGGTTGGCCTGGTGGAAGGCTTGCATCAAGCAGCACAGCCACAATCGCTAGAGCAGCACGGGAGTGAGCAGTTAGCAGCGCCAGAAGGGGCTGGAGCAGCAGCAGCAGGGGTACTTACAGAGGGGCAACAGGACGAATCTGCTGCATCAGAAGCAGCGGAGCAGGCACAGCTGGGGAAGGCTGTATCTGAGGCTGCTGCTGCTGCTGCTGCCGGTGGTGGTGCTGCTGGTGGTGGTGCTGCTGCCGCCGCTTCGCTCACCTTTGATCCCAGCGCTACAGTTGCAGCTGCGGTGGTTGCTGCTGCCTCACATGCAGGAAGGGCAAGGAGAGTGGGGAGTGTGGGGAGTGCAGGCAAGCCGTTCATCTACTCCTCTGGCTCCAAAGCAGCCAATCGAACCCTTGGGATCATGCTCAGGTGAGAGCGCATGCTTTGAGTCGACTCGAGAAAGGTTGTTAAAGTGGTGGGAATGCAGGGAGTGTGGGGAGTGCAGGTAAGCCCTTCATCTACTCCTCTGGCTCCAAGGCGGCCATCAGGACTCTTGGGATCATGCTCAGGTGTGCTGGTTGTGGAGTGTGGGGAGGGTGTGGAAGGTGGGGAGGGGTGGCACCCTTCCGCCAAACTCAACCAAAAAGCCCTACACTACACCATCCCCACCATCCAAACGCTGCACCTGCTGCTCTGCGCTCTTGCCACTGATCTCATTTGCCCCCTCTCCTTCCTGCTCGTCCCCCTTAACCTCAACCAAGCAGCAATACCCTACAGCATGCCCACCATCCACATGCTAAATTTGCTGCTCTGCGCTCTCGCCGTCGACACCACATGTGCCCCCTCCTTCCCTGTCTTCCCCCTCCCTCCCTGTCTTCCCCCTCCCTCCCTGTCTTCCCCCTCCCTCCCTGTCTTCCCCCTCCCTCCCTGTCTTCCCCCTCCCTCCCTGTCTTCCCCCTCCCTCCCTGTCTTCCCCCTCCCTCCCTGTCTTCCCCCTCCCTCCCTGTCTTCCCCCTCCCTCCCTGTCTTCCCCCTCCCTCCCTGTCTTCCCCCTCCCTCCCTGTCTTCCCCCTCCCTCCCTGTCTTCCCCCTCCCTCCCTGTCTTCCCCCTCCCTCCCTGTCTTCCCCCTCCCTCCCTGTCTTCCCCCTCCCTCCCTGTCTTCCCCCTCCCTCCCTGTCTTCCCCCTCCCTCCCTGTCTTCCCCCTCCCTCCCTGTCTTCCCCCTCCCTCCCTGTCTTCCCCCTCCCTCCCTGTCTTCCCCCTCCTTCCCTGTCTTCCCCCTCCTTCCCTGTCTTCCCCCTCCTTCCCTGTCTTCCCCCTCCTTCCCTGTCTTCCCCCTCCTTCCCTGTCTTCCCCCTCCCTCCCTGTCTTCCCCCTCCCTCCCTGTCTTCCCCCTCCCTCCCGCCTCTATCTCCCTCCTTCGGGCACCCTTTGTCCGACTTCAAGCAAGCAGCCCTACCGTAGGGCTGCTTGCTTGAGCAGCAGGTGTAGCCCTACCATACATAGTCCCCACCGTCCACACCCTTCACCATGCCTGTTAAGGACGAGTCACCTGTTGGATCCAGGTCGAACCTGTTCTTCTTTGGTACACAGTCCCCACCGTCCACACCCTTCACCTGCTGCTCTGTGCTCTTGCCATTGACACCGTCGCCTCTCTCCCCAAGGCTGCCCTCGTCCTCTCTGTCCCTCTCCGTCCCTGCCCCCCTCTATCTCTTCCCATCAGGCACCCATCACCCAACCTCAAGCAAGCAGCACTGCCCTACACAATCCCCACCGTCCACACGCTGCACCTCCTCCTCTGTGCTCTCGCCATCGACACCATCGCCTCCCACCCTGAAGCTGCTCTCTCCCCTACCGGCCCCCTCAGCAAGAGGATCAACGATGCCATCACAGCAGCAGGCGGAGGCCTGTGGTCCAGCGACCCTTTCCTGTGAGTGAGCTGGTGCTCGTGTATACTAGTGCCTTTGTGTCTTGCTCCCACTGCCGCCTTGTTCATGCACCAACCAGCCCGCTCAACAAGAGGGTCAAGGATGCCATCACAGCAGCAGGCGGAGGCCTGTGGTCCAGTGCCTTCTTGTGCCTGCTTGCCTTGTTCCCACCATCACCACCACCACCGTGTGTAGCTTAGCTTATACACTGTCGCCTCTCACCCACCCTCACTGTTTCTCTCCTCGGCGCTTCCCAATTGATTCCACCATGCAGGCTGGTTTATGGTGCTCTCCGCTCTGTGGCTCATTTCTTCAACCTCCAACCTCTCATCGAGGTACGTACCTCATCAAGTCATTTATTAGGCTCCTCAAATCTGCCACCAATCGCTCGTGGAGGTATTGTTCAAGCTCACTTCTTCAACGTGTGCCTCACTTCTTCAAGCTCATGTTCTCAACAACCACCCGCTCACCGAGGTACCTCGATGAATGCAACCCATGAGGGGTTCCGCGACATATGAATGAATCCCCTCACGCACTCTCTGTTGCAACTCGGTGTGCCTAGGTTTCATCTCTCTCACCTTCTTTTCCTCTGTTTTTTTTTTTTTTTTTCACTTTCTGCCTGAGTTCTTACACCCTTCTGCTTTACTACCTTTCCCCTCCCCAGGCCCTCGAAACCTTCTCACTCTAAACCTGCATCAGGAAGGTACAGCAGAGAGGGCACCCAGCGAAAATGGGAGGAGCGGCATTGACTTAACACCCCCTTCCACACCCTTTCCTTCGCAGGCGCTCGAAACCTTCTCACCGGAAAACCTGAGCCAGGAAGGGGCTACCTGCGAAAATGGGAGGAGCGGGATTGACGTGACTGTGGGGCAGCTATCGGTGCTGTGTGGACTGGTGGAGGCCCTTGTAGGAGCCATGCTGACTGCGGGAGAGCAGGGTGATGAGGTGAGTAGTGGAGTGGAGGGGAGGGGAGAGGGAGGAGCGACATTGACACCACCACAGTGGGGCAGGTGTCGGTGCTGTGTGGGCTGGTGGAGGCCCTCGTGGGTGCTACATGGTCAGTGTGGGGGAGCATCAGGTACGTGTGGGTAGGGCTGAGGGAGGGTGTAGAGTGGGAGGAGCGGGATCAATGTGACAGTGGGTACACGAATGTGTTCAAGTACATCACAGACGCTGCTCTCATAAGAAGGGCTGTGCCCTATCCTTCCATCCCTCACTCCTTCCCTCTCTTTCTGCCCTATATCTCAGGTGGTATCGGTTCAGGCGTTTCTCACCCAGGCTGCGGAGTGTGCTAGTGTATACAAGTACATCACGGATGCTGCCCTCATATGCCACGCTGTGGCCGTGGGGTGGAGGTAAGTGGGCAGAGCACCATACATTCACCCATGCATCGCTGCATCTGCATAAGTACATCACCGATGCTGCGCTCATATGCCATGCCATGTGCGTGGGGTGGAGGTAAGTGGGCACGATGTGAACATGCATGCGTGCTTCACTTGCGTTCTGTCCACCCCGTTTCTCCATACTCACACACCCACACCCACACACACACACACACACACACACACACACACACACACACACACACACACACACACACACAAATGCTTAACTTTCTCACCACTGCCTCCTTCCCATCCCAAGGACAAATCTCATTTGATCTTTGAGTCTGATCTACTCATGCACGATGTGAACATGCATTCTCCATATTCTTCGCCATCTCGTTTCCTTCGACCTCCTCCGCCTTGCAGAAAGGACGGCTTTAGTTTGGAGGCAACAATGGCATGGCAGCTGGAGCGCTTCCAAGAAGCTTCCTCAGCTGCTCGAGCTGTCATCCTGCTTATACTCTCTAAGGTAACTCGCCTCGCACCAGACCTTTGCTGCCCGCACACACCTCCGCACACCTTCACACTCGTCCACACACCTCTGCACACCTCTGTACTCCTCCGCAAACCTCCTCACGCCGCCTCACACCTCCACATACCCCTCTGTGGCGGATCATAATCTCTCCACCCCGCCTCCCTCTCCCTCCCTGTTGCACCTGTAACACGGTGCTGCAAGACGTCTCCCTGTAACACAGTTTGACATTAGCTTTCAGCCGTCTCAAAATCCGATTTTAGGAAGGCTCCTTCTAAAAAAAAATTGCAGCACTTGAGTTACATCACCCGCGTCCCCTCCCCACTCCGACCCTTTTCCCATCCTCCCTTGCAGCTCCCCCAGTCCTCGTCCCCACCTTCCTCCGTGGCTCATCGCATTCTTTCTGCTGCCTCTCTCTCACTGCCAGACCCAAGCGCCATGGTTTCACTCTCTGCGGTTATCTGTGCGCACCAGGTGACGTCACAGCACATCACGAGGCTCATGACGTATGGCAAATAGACATGTGAGGAGTAGTCAATGCACCATCTTTATCTTCTGTCCGCAGGACATCCTATGCTGAAGAGACGCCACTATCCTATCTTTCCTTCCCTGCCACCTCTCTCCCCACGCCACTATCCTATCTTTCCTTCCCTGCCACCTCTCTCCCCACGCCACTATCCTATCTTTCCTTTCCTGCCACCCCTCTCCCCACGCCACTATCCTATCTTTCCTTCCCTGCCACCTCTCTCCCCACGCCAATATCCTATCTTTCCTTCCCTGCCACCTCTCTCCCCACGCCACTATCCTATCTTTCCTTCCCTGCCACCTCTCTCCCCACGCCACTATCCTATCTTTCCTTTCCTGCCACCCCTCTCCCCACGCCACTATCCTATCTTTCCTTCCCTGCCACCTCTCTCCCCACGCCAATATCCTATCTTTCCTTCCCTGCCACCTCTCTCCCCACGCCACTATCCTATCTTTCCTTCCCTGCCACCTCTCTCCCCACGCCACTATCCTATCTTTCCTTCCCTGCCACCTCTCTCCCCACGCCACTATCCTATCTTTCCTTCCCTGCCACCTCTCTCCCCACGCCACTATCCTATCTTTCCTTCCCTGCCACCTCTCTCCCCACGCCACTATCCTATCTTTCCTTTCCTGCCACCTCTCTCCCCACGCCACTATCCTATCTTTCCTTTCCTGCCACCTCTCTCCCCACGCCACTATCCTATCTTTCCTTCCCTGCCACCTCTCTCCCCACGCCACTATCCTATCTTTCCTTCCCTGCCACCTCTCTCCCCACGCCACTATCCTATCTTTCCTTTCCTGCCACCCCTCTCCCCACGCCACTATCCTATCTTTCCTTCCCTGCCACCTCTCTCCCCACGCCACTATCCTATCTTTCCTTCCCTGCCACCTCTCTCCCCACGCCACTATCCTATCTTTCCTTCCCTGCCACCTCTCTCCCCACGCCACTATCCTATCTTTCCTTCCCTGCCACCTCTCTCCCCACGCCACTATCCTATCTTTCCTTTCCTGCCACCTCTCTCCCCACGCCACTATCCTATCTTTCCTTTCCTGCCACCTCTCTCCCCACGCCACTATCCTATCTTTCCTTCCCTGCCACCTCTCTCCCCACGCCACTATCCTATCTTTCCTTTCCTGCCACCTCTCTCCCCACGCCACTATCCTATCTTTCCTTCCCTGCCACCTCTCTCCCCACGCCACTATCCTATCTTTCCTTTCCTGCCACCTCTCTCCCCACGCCACTATCCTATCTTTCCTTCCCTGCCACCTCTCTCCCCACGCCACTATCCTATCTTTCCTTCCCTGCCACCTCTCTCCCCACGCCACTATCCTATCTTTCCTTCCCTGCCACCTCTCTCCCCACGCCACTATCCTATCTTTCCTTCCCTGCCACCTCTCTCCCCACGCCACTATCCTATCTTTCCTTTCCTGCCACCTCTCTCCCCACGCCACTATCCTATCTTTCCTTCCCTGCCACCTCTCTCCCCACGCCACTATCCTATCTTTCCTTTCCTGCCACCTCTCTCCCCACGCCACTATCCTATCTTTCCTTTCCTGCCACCTCTCTCCCCACGCCACTATCCTATCTTTCCTTCCCTGCCACCTCTCTCCCCACGCCACTATCCTATCTTTCCTTTCCTGCCACCTCTCTCCCCACGCCACTATCCTATCTTTCCTTCCCTGCCACCTCTCTCCCCACGCCACTATCCTATCTTTCCTTCCCTGCCACCTCTCTCCCCACGCCACTATCCTATCTTTCCTTCCCTGCCACCTCTCTCCCCACGCCACTATCCTATCTTTCCTTCCCTGCCACCTCTCTCCCCACGCCACTATCCTATCTTTCCTTCCCTGCCACCTCTCTCCCCACGCCACTATCCTATCTTTCCTTCCCTGCCACCTCTCTCCCCACGCCACTATCCTATCTTTCCTTTCCTGCCACCCCTCTCCCCACGCCACTATCCTATCTTTCCTTCCCTGCCACCTCTCTCCCCACGCCACTATCCTATCTTTCCTTCCCTGCCACCTCTCTCCCCACGCCACTATCCTATCTTTCCTTCCCTGCCACCTCTCTCCCCACGCCACTATCCTATCTTTCCTTCCCTGCCACCTCTCTCCCCACGCCACTATCCTATCTTTCCTTTCCTGCCACCTCTCTCCCCACGCCACTATCCTATCTTTCCTTCCCTGCCACCTCTCTCCCCACGCCACTATCCTATCTTTCCTTTCCTGCCACCTCTCTCCCCACGCCACTATCCTATCTTTCCTTTCCTGCCACCTCTCTCCCCACGCCACTATCCTATCTTTCCTTTCCTGCCACCTCTCTCCCCGGCCACCTGTCCCTTCATACCACACCACGTCCCTGTCCCCGCTTCCCTTCCCCCCCTTCACACAACCCTCCCCAGCCTACCCTGTCACGCCATGTCCGTCCCTCAAAGTCTCTCGCAGTGCATCTTCCCATCCCATCGCCCTTTCACTCCCTAAGCTTCATCTCCTCTCCTCTCTCCTCCCAAAACCTTTCGCTTCCCCCCGTCCACCCCCCCCCCACCCACACCCCCTTCCTCTCCGCCCTCTTCGCCGTACCCGCTCGCACCACGTCCGTCCCTCAGTATCTCTCCCAATGCAGCTTCCCGGCCAATCAGGTGCTGCCAGCTGCCAGCATTTTCCAGTCAGCGCGAGCCATCTTGGTAAGAAGCACCATGTGTGTGGGTGTGCGTGTGTGTCTGGTAAGGAATGAACCAATAAGGATACGCCACGTCAGCATGGTCATTGCTATTCTGCAACGAACCTGTATGCACTTTGATGTACGTCCCTTGTTTAAGAGTCTACTCAGAGAGGAAAAGAAAGGGGATGACTGGCGCAACTGGCAAGCAGGCTTGGCAGCGATGACTGGCGCAACTGGCAAGCAGGCTTGGCAATGCTCTTACTTCTCACTGCTTCTCCCTTCCCCCTTACAGAGGGACCGTGCGCCCCAAGCCCAGGCCGCAGCAGCGTGGATGGTGGGTGCACTGGCAAGCAGGCCTGGCAGCGATCTTACCTCTTCTCACTTTCTCCCCATCGTCTTTCACTCCTTGCAGAGGGACCGTGCGCCCCAAGCCCAGGCCGCAGCAGCATGGATGGTGGGTGCACTGGCAAGCAGTCTTCTGAAGCAGCAGCAGCTGCAGCATGAACCCAGCAGTGGGGACGAGTGCAGTGCGCAGCCCCCGCCAAGCACTGCAGAATGCTCAAGAGCAGAGCTGCAAGATTTTGAGCCTGAGGTGGGTTGGATGACCCTGAATTGTAAACCTTCAACCCTCAATCGTTCTTTCCTGTACCCCTGCCCTTCTTTTTGTTTCTCATAAGTATCATGATAAGAGCACTGCACCCTTTCGTCTCTAGTCTGATTCCAAGGCTGACGCTTGGATGCGCATCACATGCCTGTTTCCTTCTGTTGCGCATACGTTTCTGCTTGAGCCTGCATGCTTTGCAGTTCACACTGGTTGCTTTGCATACTGAATGTGGAAACTCGTTTTGCCCACACAACGAACTTAACCATGTGGTCTGGTGCCGTACTGCGACTGCATGCCGAGCCTGTTGTTCAGGTTCGGGAAACAATGACAACCCTGTGGTTCTTATCGGAGCATCAACCGGACCTAGTCACAAGCGCATGCAAGGTATAATTCCAATCAGGGAGCGCAAGCACATAGCGATGCATGTTCCTGCTCTCCAGTGAATTCTCAAAAGGCGCAAGCACATAGCGATGCATGTTCCTGCTCTCCAGTGAAGTTTCACACCCATGCATGTAGTTAACACCTCACCTCAACCCCCACGCGAGGCTCATGGATAAATCTCTTTCACGACATGCCCCCGCCCCTCCTCACAACCTTTGAGACATCTCAAAAACATGTCTCTCTCCTAATGCCCCTCGTGCTGTGTGCTGCAGGCATCCTCTCACTCGCTGGCTCGGCTTCTGCGGTCCGATCAAGGCGATGAGTCCACCTACCAACCGTTGATGTGAGTGTTGAGGAATCTCACCCCCTTTGTGAATTTCAGTTCGGTAGAGTTTGAGTCATGTTGAACTATTCTTGTTTCTTCACATGTGGGACTGCGTACGGGAGCTGAGCATTTTCTGGAAGTAAAAAGACTAACTACCATCCGTCTACAAACCACCAAAACAAGTTGAAGAACACTGGAAGAAATCAAAGGGAGAAAAAACCATGGTGTTTGATAAGCAAGTTGTTCTCTTTCATAATGTCTAATCACCTCATGCCTCCTCCCCTTCATCTATCCTTTCCCTCTCGGATGCCCTCGTCTCAAGCATTCAATGCTCCTGCGTGTGATATAGTGATGCCCTCTTAATGTCTCCTTCGTTCGGTCACCTCGTGCCTCCTTCCCTTCGTTCGGTCTCCTCGTGCCTCCTTCCCTTCGTCTACCCTCTCCCACCCAAATTCCCTCCTCTCAAGTATGCATTGCTGATGGGTGTGTTAGTGATGCCCTCTTTATAATTGAACTAATTTTCCGCTTGTATAATTTTCCTTTTTATTGTGTTTCAGGGAATCGGGTCTCTTCACTGGGAGCTTCTACCAGTTCCTCTCAAATGACTTTGTAACGAGTTTCGACGCTTACACTGGATTCACACTGGAAGTGAGTACACACCATAGTGTAATGCAAACACACACACGCTTGGCATGCGTAACCTCCATACTCAGCCTCCCCATGTCTCCGTCCCGAGTTTCGACGCTTACACTGGATTCACACTGGAAGTGAGTACACCTCACGGTGTATGCGTAAACTCCACACTCAGCAGCCCCACGTTTTCTAATTCTGAGTCGCTTTTGAGAAGTCTCAAAACCCACGTTTTCTAATTCGAGCCATTGAGTACACTTAATTGAGTACATCCGATCGAGTATAGTATCCATCTCCCCTCTTACCTCCACCTCTTCCACACCCCGTCTCCTCTTTCTCCCCACTCTCCCCTCCCTTTCCATCTCCCTTCTGCAAGCGTTCTCCCACCCCTCAGACCCCATTAAGCTCACAGCAATCTCATTCTTCACCGGCCTTATCCAATTCGTCCCCTTCCCTCCCCTTCCCCACCCTTTCCTTTTCCTCCATCTCCTTCAGACACTCTCCCACCACTCCGACCCCGTCAAGCTCATAGCAATATCATTCTTCCCCAGCCTCATCCAATTCGAATTTTGTGCGACTCAAAAGTCATTCTCCCCTCTTCCTCCCCCCTCCCTTTCATTCCCTAAACCCTCTACAGGCGCTCTCCCACCACTCAGACCCCGTCAAGCTCATAGCAATATCATTCTTCCCCAGCCTCATCCAATTCGGCTTTTGCGTCAACTCAAAAGTCATTTACCACTCTCCCTCTCCCCTCCCTTTTCCTCCATCTCCTTCAGGCGCTCTCCCACCCCTCAGACTCCGTCAAGCTCACAGCAATTTCATTCTTCACCGGCCTCATCCAATTTGTCGCCGAAACTCGCTCGGCAGCGCAGGCAGGCAGGAGCACCACACCTGCTTCATCAACACCTGTAGCATGCGGACCCAGCAACGCTTTTAGCAGCTCGCCGTTGCCTCAATCCGGTGTTGCTTTCGCAATCCCAGTGCCGCTCACGAAAGCTCTCTCTCAACTTCTGAAGAAATCCCCGAATGAGAAGCTTCGGGCTGCAGCAGCATCTTCTCTGGGAGAGATTCTTCGCCTCTCATTCAAGAGAGAGAGGTTGGGGTAGAATGTTATGGAAGGTGTGTAGTTCTTAGGCGCCTCGAAAATCGCTTCGGGCAGTGGTAGTGGCAGCATCTTCTCTGGGAGAGATTCTTCGCCTCACATTCAAGAGAAAGATGTGGTACTATGTGATACGGTAGCAAGTGTGGAGTTATTAGGCGGCTCGAAAATCGCTTTGGGCGGTTGCAGCGTCTTTTCTGGGAGAGGTCCTTTGCCTTTCATTCAAACGAGAGAGGTCGGAAGGATTCTGATTAAACACATTTATAAGGTAAGGGGCCACAGATTCGAGACTCTTGCTTAAAAGCTTCGGGCTGTAGTGGCATCTTTTCTGGGGGAGATTCTTCGCCTCTTATTCGAAAGAGAGAGGTCCGATTGATACCATGTGATAGAAAGTATGGAGTTTTTAGGCGCCTCAAAAAAGTTTCGGGCTATGGCAGCATCTTCCCTTGGGGAGATGCTTCGGCTTCCATTCAAGTTAGGGAGGTCTGATATCGGTAGAATGTGATAGAAAGTGTGGATGTGTTATAAAATGTGGAGCGTGCATGCCGTGAAGTGAAGGTTGACAAACGCCATATGGTGTAGTAAATGTGGATATGATTTGTTGAAGGATCATCGATCCGTTCTACCCACAAAGCTTTTGCATGTGATCAGGCTTACCGGTATTCCTACGGTACTGGTATTACGGAAGCCTGTTGAAGTGCTGAACTGTAGTTGACTGAAGAACAGTGAAGAAAGATGCAGGACATTGTGAGTAGTTAAGAAGATGCTTTAATGAAATCCAGTAAAGGGTACAGTCTCAACTTTCCATACAGCACATACAGACAGCTCTACAGACATTCTCAAACAAGAAGCAGAAGCAAAGGTTGGCAGGCAGGCAGGTACAAACATTTTACAGAGGGTCTATACTGCAAAGCTATCAATGCATTCCCATAGAGCGGAGAGAAGAAGGGTGTCCATCAAGTGAGAGGGGAACGGGTTTGCATTGACTGGAGGGGTGAAGCCATCCAAGTTAAAGCATGTGCCGCAGATGACACAATGTGTGCATGGCAGGCGTGTGCTATGCTGTGCTGCTACTGTATCATTGCCTCCCTACTCCGTGCACCATGCGGAGCGGTAAGGCATAGGTAGCATGTCCCTGGTTAATGGTAACAAAGGGAGGGCAAAGAGGATAAAATGACTAAGAAAGCAATGTTTACTGATGCAAGGTGCAGAAAGGGAAGTGGAACAGCTGTGCATGTGCGAGGGTGGGAAAGAACAAATGACTCACAGAGCATATCCTGCAGCAAAAGGGTCACTAGATTCTGACTTGTCCTGATAATCCCTGTCGTCTTCACAGTTATCCGTCGAGTAGAGATTGAAGGAGGGGCACCTCGGAGCATCATCAATATTGTCAACAATATACGCTGCGGTGAATCTCCCTGCTACTGCATCCGGGTATTGAGTGCAGCCGTTCAGGTTGAGGCGGAAGGTGTATGGCCGAGAGGAGTTGTCATCCGCGTTTCGATTCACGATGAACGTGGCGCTGTATGCGGTAACGGTGGCAGGTTGGCCTGAGAAAGAGCGGCACAAGAAAGGAAGCATTGGGTGGAGGGGAGGGAGTGGGGCGAGAAGGGGAGCGGTTCGATTCACGATGAACGTGGCGCTGTATGCGGTAACGGTGGCAGGTTGGCCTGAGAAAGAGCGGCACAAGAAAGGAAGCATTGGGTGGAGGGAAGGGAGTGGGGCGAGAAGGGGAGCGGTTCGATTCACGATGAACGTGGCGCTGTACGCGCTAACGGTGGCGGGTTCACCTGCGTAAGAGCAGCACAAGAGAGGACTTGGTGTATTGTTTGTCTGCACGTTTCATGTGTTTCCACAATACCACAACTAACGAGCAGCCATAGCTGTTCAACCAAACTTAACAAAGCGAGAATGGTGAAGCAAACAGTGGGGCGAGTGGGGGAGAGGAGAGAGCGGGGCGAGAGGGGAGTGAGGGAGCGGGGCGAGAGGGGAATTAGAGAGTGGGGCGAGAGGGGAACTAGGGAGTGGGGCGAGGGGGAAGTGGGGCGAGGGGGAAGTGCAGAGAGGAGAGAGTGGAGAGTAGATGGAGGCATGCATCGAAGCTCATCACCCTCAGCACAGCCAGTCCGGGTCATGCCATAGCCATTTTGTTGCAGGTAATGAGCATTCTAAGAACTCATGCGTCGATTCACACCAACTCACCCTCAACACACTCAGTCGGGGTCATGCCATAGCCGTCAGGGCAAGAGCAGTAAGGCGAGTGAGGAGAGGAGAGCAGGGTGAGCGGGCGAGTGGGAAGAGAGAGGAGACCCACCCTCAACACACTCAGTCGGGGTCATCCCATAGCCGTCACGGCATGAACAGTGAGGCAGCAGCACGACCAATGACTTATAACCACAGAATCTAGCTTGTGTCAATGGCACTCACCCTCAACACACTCGGTCGGAGTCATCCCGTAGCCTTCAGGGCATGAGCAGTAAGGCACCTGCACCAAACCGTTGTTGGTTGCAGGCACGGTCTTGCAGGTGGCTCCAGTAGGGCAGGCGCCACAGGGTGAGTCTTAGGGGTGGGGTGGGGTGGGCGTGGGTGCAGTGCGGCAATTGAGGGCACGAGCAGTAAGGCACCTGCACCAAACCGTTATTAGTTGCAGGTACTGTCTTGCAGGTGGCTCCAGTGGGGCAGGCGCCACAGGGTGAGTCTGTGGGGTGGGGTGGGGTGGGAATGGGTGCAGTGCGGTATGATTTGTAAGGCGCATCAGAGAGCAGTAAGGCACCCGCCTGCACCCAGTCGTTGTTAGTCGCAGGCACGGTCTTGCAGGAGGCTCCAGTATGGCAGGCGCCACAGGGTGAGTCTGCGGGGTGGGGATGGGTTCAGTGTGGTTCGTGAGTGCACTGTTAGTGGGGAGTAAGGCACCAGAGGTGTGGCGTCACAGGGTGAGTCTGGGGAAGGCAGGAAGCGAGGGAAACACAAGGGAGGGGGAGAAGCAAGAGAGAGGGAGAAGCAAGGCAGATGTGGAAGCAAGTTAGAGGGGAAACGCACGCTCACTCACTCACCCCACTGGCAGTAGCGCTCGCCTGTCTCATCCACCACGCATTTGCCACCCGGCTCACAGCCCAAGGCGTCACAGGGAGCACCAACGCACAAGACAGACGCTAAGGAAGCCACTTTTGTCGCGCCTGAAAACTCACCCCACTGGCAGTAGCGCTCGCCTGTCTCATCCACCACGCATTTGCCACCTGGCTCACAGCCCAACACGTCACAGGGAGCATCGATGCAAAGAACAGAGGTCACGGACGCCCACTTGCGGAGGTTCTTCTTGTTGCTGGGGAACCTGCAGGGCGTGGCGTGGCAAGAGGAAGCACAAGAGATGACTTTTGAGGCGCGTGACAGGGATGGCAAGGAGCGTTGGTGCAGAGAGGACCGAAGCCACGGACGCCCGTTTGCGGAGGTTCTTCTTGGTGCTTGGGAACCTGCCGGGAATGGGAAGTGTGACTGGATGAAACACAAAAGGTGATATCTAAGGCGCCTCAAAAGTGCATCGGTGCAGAGAACAGGGGGAACGGACGCCCACTTGCGAGAGTTCTTCTTGGTGGTTGGGAACCTGCAGGGCGTGGCAAGTGGAAGCACAGGAGACAGCTTTTGAGGCGCCTCACAGGCAGCATCGGTGCATGCTGCATCAGAGAGGGCAGATGCAGAGAGGGCAGATGCAGAGAGGGCAGATGCACCAGTCACTCACCTGGCTGCAGTAGCCCCTGGGTTGACCATCCTATCAAGCTCCGTGCCCTGGCAGCCGTCCTTCCCAAACACCACCCAACACTCACACACCCACCGCCACTCACTCGGCCCACCCGCCACTTACTTAGCTGCAGCAGCCCCCGGGTTGACCATCCTATCAAGCGCGGCGCCCTGACAGCCGTCCTTCCCAAAGAACTTGACCTGCGAGCACGCGAAACCTGCTGCCGCGCTGCTCGAACCTGCGCCGCCCGAGCCTCCGCGGCCGTTCCACCACACCTGCGCGCCCTTCCCCCGCGCCTTCTTCGGCACGCTCACGCAGCGCTGGCTGCCGAAGCTCAGCCGAGCCTTGCCGACAGCCACGGTTGTGGCGAACTGCAGTTCCGAACCCAGATTCAGGATGCTGCGAGCGGGGCTGGGATTGCTATCAAAGAGGCTGCCGCCACCGTCAGCGAGGTTGCCGCCGCCAGTGCCGTCTGGGGTGCCGAAGCTGTCAACGGGGGTGCCGGTGCGGTCAACGGGGGTGCCGGAAGTGGGGGTATCCAGCAGAACCCTCGCAGTGACCTTGTTGAGTGCTGATCCCCCCATGGAGTCACCTTCTGGAACCTTCTCTTGTCCAGATGCATGCAAGTCCTTCAGCATGCTACGGTGGGTCATGTGGTGAGTGATGCTTGTCACTGTGTCGTCCCCATACGCTGCTTTCATCAAGTGAGCTGCTGCAGAGGACAAGGGAGAGGGTGTGCGGAGAAGAGAGGAGAGGAGGTATGAGAGGGCAGAGAGGAGGTATGGGAGGGCAGAGAGGAGGTATGGGAGGGCAGAGAGGAGGTATGGGAGGGCAGAGAGGAGGTATGAGAGCGGTATGTCAAGGAGAAGAAAATGAGGGAGAAGGCAATGAGGGAGAAGGCAACGAGAGAGAAGGCAATGAGAGAGAAGGCAATGAGAGAGAAGGCAATGAGAGAGAAGGCAATGAGAGAGAAGCGGACTGACCGCAGATGAGGGCAAGGGCGAGCAGCAGGAGTCCGGCAGGAGAGGCGCGCATCGTCCTCATGATTGTGGGGGTCCCGCGGGAGAGGCGGCGGAAGAGGCGACGGAAGAGGCGGCGGAAGAGGCGGCGGAAGAGGCCGCGGAAGAGGAGCCAAATTAGTTGTTGATAAGTAAGTTGCTGTTCCGTATCACACGCTCCTTCTTTTGGAACTTGAAAATGAAGGACAGCCTGTCCACTGAGTGGAACGATGGCCGAGTATTACTGCTTGAAGCACAGAAGCGGAAGGAGAGTCGTGGAATGGCAGGGATGGACGAAAGGCGCGCTTGCTTTGGGATTCGACTGAGCTGCACCGGTGATATACGGTGCGAGCTACGAGCGTGAGTCGAGCATGGCAGCCGCAGCGCCATCGCACTACGATGAGTCATCGTCGGCGCCGTATTGTCGCAGTGAATTATATGAAGCGGATTTGGTGAGTTTTGAGACGTCTCAAAACTCGAAGCGCCATCGCGCTACGATGAGTCATCGTCGGTGTCGATAGTATCGTGGTGAATTATATGAACGGGATATGGTAAGCTGTGACGACGATGGCTCTGGTATCACTTGGGAACGCGATGCGTGCGACGGCTTGCTTTGGCGGGAGGCCGTCCCATACGTCGGGTACGCGTTGCCTGACACAAGTGAATCGCAGGGAGGAAGTACAGTAATGCGTCTAGAATGCGACTGCATTATATGAACGACCAAAATGCGACTTCGTCGCAGAAAGAACCGAAGACGGCTGCCCGTCTTATCTGCCGGATAGCCGGCTGTATGAGAGACGCGTTCCAATGGAACTTCGTGAATCTAGCCCGCCACGTCAGACTTTTGTTGTGATCCATCTGGAGGCGCATTACAAAACAACATCGTGTATTACTTGAACTTGCGCACTACCAGGTAATGGCCTCGAGCTCTCCGCCATGGCTGCTCAACGCATACTGGAACCCGACATTTCGGGACGCCGCCTTATCAAGTGACTATGTTACTGTTACCAATGGCATCGCCTTCGTCCCAGCTTTCGGAAGATACATTTCTAATGTCCATACAGCGGACATTGTTTCTTTTGTTAAAGCCGCGGTCTACATACTAAAAGGGTTTTTTTGGGGCTCATCTAACTGCACACCCTTTGGCGCACGCTGGTTCGAGAGCGAAGTGAGCTGCCAAACACCTCAGCGGAATTCGGTCGACGGAGCCGAATTGCCAGTGTCGTCGAGGGGGGTCGTCGAAGCCTGGGCTGACGGGGCGGAGCACTGACGCGCGTGCGGGCCCGCCAGCCTGGCCCAGGGCTGGGCCGAGCGCACGACCGCCGCCCCGCGGCCCCGCCCCGAATGTGAACAGCGGCCCACGTTACCGGGTGGGGTCGGCGAACTGGCGACACCTCGCGCGTGGGAAAATTACCCTCGCGCGAAGGCAGCCCACACGCGCCACCTGCCCGCGAGGTCCTACTAACCCATCGCGGCCTGCCCGGACGGGCAGGCGAGGGCCGGGCGAAAAGTCGGGGCCCCCTCGGGACGCTCGACAATTTCGCGACCCGTTGCGGCGACGCCACGTGTTCGCTCGTGGTTTCGCATCGGGCGCATGCGATATTTTGTCATTGCGAGCGAAAAAAAAAAGGCCGCGACGCGGACAACGAGGTTCGTTACCCACTACGAAGTCGACACGTGTTGTGCGAATGCACGCTCATCGCGCACGCGATATTGCGTCCCCTCGCCGACCTGGGACAATGGACGCGAGGTCGACGCCCTGCCGAAGCGGAGTCGGACCACCTGTTCCACTTGCGCATGCGCCCTCAGAGCCCTGCCGAGCCAGGCCCCACACCCTTGGGCGACGCTGAACGGGGATGCGGTGGGTCACCGTCTCCTTTTCTTTGTGGATGGTGGCCTCGCTCCCCATTTTCCGCATCTCGTTTCGCTCCTCCTTTTCCTTTTTTCCTCCTTTCGTTGCTCTGTGCGGCTATCGTGATATCGCTTCCCCTTAGTCGGTATGGACCCTAGCCCTGACCCCGATAACTCGGCGCCGACTTCGGCTGACTTCCCTCTTCGTCACCAAATGGGTCCTGGTCTCAGCTTCACTTTAGAGTGGGAAGACTTCTTAGTTCTTCGCAACCACAAGATAGAGTTCAACGACGGATGTTTGGATTTCGGCATCAGGTACGACTCGAGTAGTCGGCGCCGACTTAACTGGGTTGGGTGGAGTGGGAAGACTTCTTAGTTCTTCGCAACCACAAGATAGAGTTCAACGACGGATGTTTGGATTTCGGCATCAGGTACGACTCGAGTAGTCGGCGCCGACTTAACTAGGTTGGGTGTCGACGCAGTGGCCTTCTGATTTACGTCGACGTGCGCGGTATTAGGAATAGACCCCCTCCAGGAACGCCGGCCACCTTAGGAATCGTCGACCACACGTAGTCGCCCTCTGTACTTTTCGGCGTTTGCTCAACCGCCCTTGTATGAACCTCCTTGCCCAATCGTGCCGTCAGGTTCGCGTGGTCCCGACTTGGGATCGAGAACCAGCGTTTGTGGGTTCTCGACGTCGGCACGCTTCGATCGGCCATGCGGCTGGCCGACCATTCATGCTTTGCTGCGGTTTTCGACGCCGACATCGCCGCTATCCCGTTAAGAACGATGTGAGCTGTTTCACCTTTGATCAGTTGTCGTTGTTTAGTGTCGCGACATCGCGTGGTGATGTGATCGACGTCGTCGTAAATTGCTGTGAAAAAGTAGGTGTGGGGCCTAGGCTTAGTAGCCTAGGCCCACACTAGGAGGTAGGTGAGTTCGAGTGGGTTAGGTGAGTATTGAGAAATTTGGAAGGGAAGTGAAGTGACTAACAAGAGTTGGAATACAAGTACATTGCCCTAAATTGGGTTGTACTCATTACAGAGTACCCCACTGCAGGCTAGACAGCAAATATATTCTGACAATTGCATGTGCAGCCTCGGTGCGCTTCCAGGAACGCACTGCAGCGTCATTGCCATCCTATACCCTGGAGATCTGTTGAAGGCTGAGGGACAGGTGTGCAGGATCTCAATCCGGCACATCGACCCGCAGACCGGTAAAGGGTATCACCGCGACGAGGCCGCCCGCGTGCTAAAGTAAGTGCTGAATTGTCGTCGATGACCCGCTTGTTAGTCGGCGTCACAGGGTATCACACGCTGACCGCCTCCCCCCACCGCGGTGCTTCAGGTTCTTCCGCACGGCTGTCCTGGCCGAGCTGGGGCATCCCGGTAGGATGTGGGACTGGGCGCCGCCATCACAAGCAGTGGTGGAGGTCAGGCTGGCCGACTGCGACCACCCTATCCGCGATGTGAGTTGCACGTTCAAGTCGCAAGGGGGGGGTGCCCGTTTCTGAACGCTCCGCTCATCATGTTCCGTGCTTGTATGCAGAAAGTGCCGGGCACAGTGTCGGACGGGCATGTCGGTGCCGGCGTGCTTTCCGCGACGTCGTTCGGGTGGGTAGCAAAACAGATCGACCATCTGACAGGCGAGAAGGGTCGTCGTGGGGTGAGCATCGAGAGCATCGGGATGAAGGGGCTGAAGGCTTTGCGCGACAGCATGGTTGAGTACGTCGGCAAGGTCATTGCCGTAAAACGCACCGCGACGCCGACTTCTCAAGCCGCCGGACCCGCCGACAATGCCATAGATGACGACGTCGCGGAAGGACAGAAGGCGCCCCAAGGTGCAGTTGCCGCCCAGCATCATGGGAACGCGAGGGTGCATGGGGAAGGTGGAAACGGTGGAGGAGGCGACGCAGAGGCAGGTGCAGGAAGGTCGGAAACGGAGAAGTCGTCGTCGTCGTCGTCGGAGTCGGAGTCGGAGTCGGAGTCGGAGGAGGAAGACGAGGCGGTGAAGCGTAAGGACGAGGAGGAGTATGAGGAGGAGGAGGAGGAGAATAAGGATGAGAATGGTGAGAAGTGGGAGGGAGGGAAGGATGAGGAGGGGGGGGATGAAGAGGTGGAGTTCGTGGTGGAGTATGTAGAGGGTACGGTTGAGGCGGTAGCGGCAGAAGAGGCGGTGGGGTCGGCAGATCAGGGGAATGAGGAAGAGAAGGATGACGGCGCGGGAAATGCTACGAGGTCGGCAGATGTGGGGAAGGAGAAGGGCGAGGTCGGCGTGGAGGCACCTGGAAATGGCCAGGATGAGGCGGCCTGCGAAGGAGGTGGGAAGGTGTCGGTCGACGCCGGCGAAGGGCCGAACAACACGGGCGAGCAGGAGGCCGGGGAAGCACCTGGTCGGCAGGGCCCAGAACTGGACGACGTCGAGGTTCTGCGACGGGAAAACTGGTTGTTGCGGGCGGAGAACGCTCGGCTGGCGTCGTTGCTCGATGCGGAGCGGTCCCGGCTGGACAGTTTTTTTGTTGGGGTCAGTCGACTCGTCGACCACGTTAAAGGGTTGGCCGAGCAGGTCGACGACACCGACAAGTATGCCGCGGAACAGCTGCGAAACGCGACGGAGGCCATGTCGAAGACCATCACGGGCAACATCTCCGGCAGCTTTGACGAAGCGTGGAAGTCGATGAAGACTTTCGCGGAACATGCGACGGAGTGGTTGGAGGACTTCGACAATCCGGAGGGTCGTGTCGCGTATGCACGAGCGTTAGCGGTCTCCTCCTTGGCCGAACACGTGGATTCGGTGGTGGGCGATGCGAAGAAGGGGTTGGAAGAGTACATCTCGAACCACCTTGCCTCCGCGCAGGTCAACATCGCCACCGTTTTGACCGCCAGGCTCGCCGTGCCGCCGCCGCCACCGCCTCATCCCACGCCGCCCGCCATCCCAGAAGAGATTTTGAAGTCGTTCAAGGCCGACATCCTGAAGGCGCTGACGGAGGCCACCCAGCAGTCTTTCGTTGCTTCCGGGATGAAGATCATGACAGAGATGATCGGCACTGTGGCGCCTGGTCGACGTGGGTCGTCGCCTTCGGCCAATGACGCCGATAACGCGCAAAGAAAAACGGCCGAGAAGCAGGGCCATAAGAGGACCGGCGACGGAGACGACAAGGGGAGCTCGAAGCGGAGCAAGGGAGCGTACGGTAGTTTCGGGTCGAAGCCTGCGCAAAAAAGCGTGGTCGACCAGCTGAAGACGAAGGCGGGGTGGAAGGTGGTAAGGACGTCGCACAGCAAGGGAGGCGGAAGCGGGGGAGCAGAGGGTGGCCCTGCCGACGGGGTTGCCGCTAACCTAGCTGCTCCGACTGGCCCGCCTTTGGTCGCCGAGCAGACCCATCCTCAGGCGAGCAGTGGGAAAGGCGTTACCGACAAGGAGGTGCCAACTGCTCAGGCGGCGAATGATGGTGACTCCGGAACCACCAAGGGACCACCCGTCGCGGCGGCGGCCAAGCCTGCTTCTGCTACGGTTGCCGGCACCACCAAGTCGAGTCCCCGTAACCCCCTTGCGGCTACCAGCGCGCCTGCCGGCCAGTCAGGTGCGAACAAAGATGGCGAGGCTGCTCCAGCTCCAGCAGCCCCGACTGCCGCCAAGGTTGTCGCGAAGGTTGCTTCGGCTAAGGGTGATGCCATGGCATCAGCTAAGGCCCCCCCCGGTGGTACCGCGCTCAGAGAGATGCTCCGCCGCATGGAGGCACATAGCAGGGACGTGCAGCAGCATCCCGTGGTCGACGCCGGCCTTCCTGGAACAGCACGCCGCTCCGTCACTACGCAGGTTGCTGGCAAGTCGTCCGGTGCCCCACCTGCCGCGCCTCCGGTGGCCGCCCCACCGCCTGCGGACCCCAAGTCCGATTTTCTTCGCGCCCATTTAGGCGCACGCAAAGCAACTGCTCCGTCAGTGACCCTGCCGGAACTCGGCAAAAGCGCGACGCCGATGTCGGTAAACGCGACCGCACCCACACCAGGTGCATCTGTGGT